TCTTTGGCCAGTCTGATTCAGAGAGTCTTTGGCTAGTCTAACATTTTCAGCAAGTTTTGGTAGTGAAGCTGATGAATGTGACCTGTGAACCCACAGTATGAGGAACATTGGTTGATACTATATCAGCGATTTGTACCTATCTTCTCAATGGCTTAAAAAATAATACAAGCCCCAAACAATATCATAAGAAGGGTGACCGTTTCAGTTTCTTATATCAGTAACAAATCTTTAGAATAGAGAAGTTTCTTTATACTTTGGTTTTCCTATTGCTTTACATATTAAAATTGTGTGGGACATCCCAGGCAAGGTTTAGGTTCAGAATTAAAACTTTACACTGTCATTTCTTTCTTACTCTATTGGAAGGAAAGATAATAACTTGTAATAACAATTGCAGCCTAAAATAAGCAGTACGGGGAAAATTAAAGTTAAGCGGGCTCTTGCATTCTGAAATTTTTCTCAGTGACATCTATTTTAGAATAGTACTTTTCTCCTTGTCTTGATTTGGAAGAAGTGTAGCTTGTTTAATATGTCATAAGTAAAGGAAAATGTGTACGGAATTGGACACAAATCAACTTTGCTCACACAAAGGTTCAGATTATGCATGACAAATAAGATGTGTGTGGAAAATGCTCTGTTAGCCAAAATATTATGATAGGATAAATAGATGAAAAAGAATATGGCTTAAGGCCTGTAAAAATCTAAATCAGAGATAGAGAAGTAGAAGAGGAAAGTTAGTTTATTTTTTTAATCTTGGAATGAATGTACATTTCTAATATTAGGGTTAGGTGAGTCACCTAAACATAGGAAGCAAATAGAAGTTAAAGTATGTATAGGAATAGTAATAATTTGAGAAAATAAGAAGCAGTTTTGCAAGGCATTGGTATGCATGTACAGGTTTGTGTTTTTATGTTCTGATAAATTAGTATTGATAAAGACATATGGGCCTCCAATGTCTATATCAAGTAAAACAATGCTTTTATGCTTCTGTGTTCCAAGAAGGCTGCTCTTTTAAAATTTATGGACTTAGAAATGTGAGTCAATGCATAATTGTTTTATGGGGCAGTTCTGAGATGGTATTAAGAAATGAAAGCAGAATGGCAAGTTACGTGAAGTCTTCAGTGACTAGGCAGCTATTTTTCGAAAGTTATTTTAGATTTTAAGACATTTCACAAAGTTCCCTCAGTAATGAAATAAATGATTTTTTTTATTTTAATGTTAAAGAATTGGCAGGAAACATGAAGAATATTTTTAAAGAAGGGTTTTCTAAAATTCTACTTGTAAAGAAAATGATCTCACTTCTAGTAGTAGACCACTTTGTTTAATTTTAAGAAGGGAAAATAGTATTTCTAGGATCTGTGAGACTAGTATTTAGAAAGAGAAAATATCAGTAACTATTTCTAGTACCATTGTGATTAAGAGTATAGATTAGAGCTTTCACAACTCAGAACTACTTCTTCTGCTAAACAAACTTTAGCACACGTAGAAAAGCCCACTGGCAGACTTAATCACTTGATTTGACCTCTTTTCATTATTTGCCTGGTCTCTCCCAAAAATTAAATGGAAGCTACTATATTTCATAAGGTGATAAGCAGTCCAGCTGTCAGTAAATAATTTAATAAGATCTGAATGAGATTCAAAAGGATTTGCTTCGCAGCTTGGGTCAGTCAATATCAACTGTGTTTTAGCAAAGATATATTTAGAATAAGCTAAATATAGGAGAACCACTTGCTGAATCAGCCAGTTAGAGGAACTGTGCAAAGAAACAATGAGCTAACTCAAGGATTACGTTCAAACACACTTCTCCTAAGAACAGTCTTGCCATTCCACCTACTAGTAGAAGACTTCATCTAAGTTGACTTTCAGCTATGTTTGCGAGGACATTTCCATGTAGCCAATCATGATGCATCTATTACTAAACTAGAGAACTGCTGGTGAAAGATTCCTTCACAACTACCACTCACTATGTTGCCTGCTGGTAGGAAAAGTTTGATAAGTCCTTTGTAAAGCAGATAACTCAAGTGAATTAGATTTCCAAATAGATTCCTCATTACAGGATCCTATGCAGAATACAGGCATCCACTATGTGTTTGAATCGCTGCTACCTAAACTTGCTGCTCCATCCTTGATAAACCCTGGGGCCATAGATGTGTCCCTTGATAGAAGGCCACAAGTGTACAGAGTGAAAATTATGACCCCATTTCTAGCAGTATATTTCCAGATCACTATGAAGTAGGGTGAACAAAGAAAGCTGTACAAATAGAATTATGTGCATTGGTAAACATTTTGTGAGCAGAAAAAAGTCCTCTGATTACTGGGTGACAGGACAACTGAGTGACCACTAAGAGATCTTTCACAAAGATACTTTTTGAACATCTGATTTTGAAGTCTATTAGATAAGCAATATAAATAACTGTAGTGTTGGGTGGAATGTTTTTCAAATGTATTAAGTTTGGAAAAACTCCAAACATGTTTTTTGAAGTACTTTCCTTTTCCATTTTTTGAGCCCATGTACATATTAAAAGTAATTTAATCCTGACTTGTGGATAAAACTTCAAAGCATCATTTGTAAAACCTATTTGATTTTCAGATAGAACAATATTTATTCAAATGTTTTATTTGCGTGTTTATATACACTTTTATACAGAATAATATCAACTACTAATGTTGTAAATATAGACTTACCGATGTTTTCTGTTTGCTTTAAGTTTATGGGTTCCAAATGTGATATACTAGACTACTGTTTCAACATCCGTATAATCACAAACTTCAAAATTGAATTGTTTTCATGATTTTATTTGTAAGAAAGTGGGCATGCTGACATAAGAAATGCCCCCCCCCATTTTCATTGCCAGTAGAGTTTCAAACACTATCTAAAACCTTTAAATATAAGAAATGATGATTAATAGTTGTGACCAGTGTCCCTGATTGTGACTTTATGATTTTAAAATATTCTATAGCTTCATTTTCTTTTTCATTTCTTCATTCATGTATATGATAAATATTTATTTACTACCAGTCAAAAAGAATGCATATAAATATAATAAATATAGATATAATGCCTAAATTGTAAATGCATGAGGAAAACATCTTGGCAATCCTATATAGAAAAAAATTTAAACACTTAAAATTCAAAGCTATTTTTGAAAATGACATAATCAATCTTCAAAAACCATTTACTCAATAGCCAGGCATTGTGGCAGGCACCTGTCATCCCAGCTAATTGGGAGGCTGAGGCAAGAGAATCGCTTAAGTCCAAGAGTTTGAGGTTGCTGTGAGCTGTGATGGCACAGCACTCTACCAAGGGCAACATAGTGAGACTCTGTCTCAAAAAAAAAAAAAATGTACTCATAGAAAATATGTACATTTATAGATAAAGTGAGTTCTCATTTTATATCTATAATTCATATTGAAGCATTACATGCAGTAAATATGTTATACCATATAGAAGTGAAAATATGTTGTAAGCAAAAGAAATATTTAAAAATATGAATAGCTTAATACAAATATGATTTTAATAGAGATATTTACTTTGAAGTTTTCAAATTTATCATGGACATAACTTTGGTTCATTAGTATACTATTAAATTCTTACATCAATCAATATTTCAGGTCATGACCTCTGGATTTAAGAAATTCTTAAAAACAATGTCAAATATGATCGAAGAGAAAATGTGATTCGAGTCTGGAGACAATTTTGCATGTAAGTATTGGGAAATTAGATTTTCTCATAGTAAAATGTAATAAAAACTATAATATCAACTCATTAATGACTAAATTGCAGAAACCGTGGTTGACTGTATTCTGCCCACTATAACACTTTGTTTTTATATTTAAAATTAATGCAATACTTCCTGATATTTTGGTTATGTTTTTCTTAGGATCACTTAATAATAAAAATCCAAGATCATTAATAGAAGAGGAGGCAACATTTGGAAAATTACTACAATTAAAAAGAAAAACTGATTCTAGGTGAGTTATTGGTGGGGGCAAACAATGGCAGAGGTTCTCTGTGATAATTGGTGGCATCTCTCATGCATGTGGTAATAAAAATGATAAAACATGCAAATATATAGAAGGGTTTCACAAATTCCTTTTTTGGCCATTAGTGCTATAATAAAAATTATGGCTAGATTCCTAACAGAATTAAATCTAAGTTAATTTCAATGGTGAATATGTATTTATTGGGATTTTTGTCTCTTTTAAAAATATTCTTATGTGTTCAGTTAAATTAACATTATATTTCATGGCTATACAATAGTAATATTTCTTAATAGAATGCTTCCAGACATGATAGGGAGTAAGCATTAGGAACATTACTTTAGCAATATTTGTCTCTTAGAATTAGTAAGCTAGAGGGGAGCAATTTAGAGACCATTTTTCCTTAGCTCAGAATTGTATCTACTATTAGATATTTAAAGAGAATTATTTATTTGATATTGTTCATTGCCTATAACTTTATTTCGATAATGTAGGTGTCTTAGAAAATCTTTTATTTTCTTATTGAAAAAAAATATTTGATTTTCTGTAATAAAAAATAATTTCTATTAAATCACAAGGAAATTTTTATGACGTATGGATGTTGATTCTCAAGAGATTAACCTAGGAATAAATTCTCCCCTTAAATAGCTAAAAAGTAAAAAAAAAAACCAAAAAACATGAAACTATTACTTATGAAAAATAAAAGTTTTATAATAAAATATACTATCAAAATATATATTGTTATATTCATGTAAAGCTCTTTATTTTGAAACTTTAATCATTTGATCCAAATTTTGGTAAAGGAAAAGAAAGCAAGTTGTTTTCCAATTACTTAAAAAAAATACATAGTGATCCTAGGACTTTGGGAGGCCAAGGCGGGCAGATTGCTTGAGCTTAGTAACTGCAGACCAGCCTGAGCAAGGGTGAGACACTCTCTCTATAAAAATAGAAAAATTAACTGCTGATTGTGGCAAGTGCATATACTCCCAGGAACTCTGGAGGCTGAGGCAAGAGGATCTCTTGAGCCCAAGGGTTTGAAGTTGCTGTGAGCTGTGATAATATCATGACACTATACCCAGGGTAGCAAACTGACACTCTACCTCAAAAAAGCAAAACAAAACATATATATGGAATGTTTTGTTTATAAATCTAAGTAAATTAACATATATTTATTTAGCTCATTACTACTTTAAACCATGATACTCTTAAACATTTGTAGAACATAAGTTTATGATTAAATATTTAAAGTAAATGTATTATATGATTTTAAAATAAATTTTCTGTCAAGAGACATACAAGAGACATTTATTTCATAAACATTGATGAATTTTATTTCTTTCATTTTCCATTGCAGTTTGATTTATATTACGTAGCATATTTCACTTTGGCTTTAATGATGGAGAAAAACTATGTCCTGTATTTTCTGTTCCTCTTGCCTGTGTTAATGGTAAGCATAAAAATATCTGTGATTATTTCTTTTTTCACTGCCAATATTCCTATAATTGATAAAGGTTGATAACAACAAAATTACACCTGTTACTAGATACAAAAATTAATCACACCTTATATCCCATCAACAGAGTAATCATTTATTTCCCATCAGGTATGCTTTCAGTCTTTCATTGAAGGATAAAGCATTGGGGGCATCCGAGTGGCAAATTACACAAGATACAAAGGTATAGGACACCAATTTGAAAGAAATGAAATAACACTACACTACAGTCATTCATAGTAAAGTACTTTCAACCAGATTTGTTGCTTCTGAGTTAGATTTCCTAAAAGAAAAAAACAAAAACAAGTGATTCTCTCATTAATGTTTTTCCCATTCTGATGGCCAACTGAAGGACCTATACTGATTGAAAGGCATTTCCAAACCATGCACTGTATTTTAAATTTCCTGTTTATTAAGATAAACCAGCATTGGTGCTAAATTTTGGGGAGGTGTGTGTGGATGCACACTCGTGTGCACCTTTCCGTATGTATGCTGGGGATAGGAGATGAAAGGTAGACAATGTCCAAAACTCAGTTACGCTACTTCAGGAATCATACGTCTCATACATTTAATTTTATTTTTATTTACAGTAATGTATTATTCATATTTTTCTCTGCCTCAAATTAAAACAGTGACTGTGCTCTTATTATATTAAATAAATATGAGAAATGGAGAGACCTACTCTCATCTGATTCTGTGCCAGCAAAGAATTTTCCTGTGGTGTTTCCAAGAAAACCCTACAAAGATAGAAATAAAGAAACTCAGGAAAAATACAGAAAACACGAACAAAAAAAAAACAAGACTACATTCCTGTCAGCATTTGCATTTGAAAACATTCTCAAGTCTAGGAGCAGTCCAAATTCTTCCCTTCCTAGATGGTATCTTTAAACTGACTTGAATTCAAGAAACAGGGCTCCTTTTCAGCTCACAGCTTCTACTGAGTGTGTCAGTGAGCTGCACAGAACTTGGGTTCCCTGACGGTAATTCCATAATAGATTACCAGCTGATTATTGTAATTAAGAAACTCAGAGCCTTTCTCTTGAACCCTTTCAAGACAGTGTGTAAATCTGAGTCTTTATTGCAAGTAGAAATAAAAATGACGTCCAGTCATGCAATCCTGCAAACTTCCTGAGATCAGAAACTGTGGTTTTTTAAGTACAAATTACCTTCTTGTTCTAATTGCCCATTTATTGCTTGAGTGGCACTACTGCTGCACTTGGACATTAAAACTAATCAGAGAAAGGAGTTAAGGTTACCTGGTGGATCACATGGTGGTAAAACTTGAGTGGTGCCTCACAGTAAGGGAATATCATTATTTTGAAATGAGGGGACAAAAGTAGATTAGGAAGATAACTATAAAAGATACTTACAAGAAGAAATGCAAACACTAAGGAGAACAGGTTGAAGGGAGACTTACTCAAGCTTTATTACAAATCAGGGAAGAAGGTCGTGTAGAAATTAAAGTAGAGGTCAAGCATAAAATAGTGCTATTAAATTAAAGAACATATGGGGCGGCGCTTGTGGCTCAAAAGGGTAGGGCAGAGGTGGTGGGTTCACCAGCCCTGGCCAAAAACTGCCAAAAAAAAAAAAAAAAAAAGTAAAGAACATAAGTATATAATTTGTCCAAAACCTTTATGCATGTGCATACAATAAAAATTGTATTTATTTACCGACATCTTAAATGAACTTGTCACTTTGATTATCAAAATATCATTAAAAACAGCACCAAATTTTGTGTATTTTCCAAGTGCCAGATATAACCCTTCAGTTATCTCCATGCCATTCATTATATTGTAACCCGTAGTATTATTTTATAATAAAGCAGAGGCTTGAGGGGAGGATGGTAAGTCTCTTGCTTATGTTCACAGAGCATGTAGAAATGTGGGAATGGATTTTGGGTACAGCCTTGCCTACATTCCAGAACGTAGGGCCAGGGGTGTCTTACAGCCAACTACCACAAGCCTCCAAAAGCCAGTAATAAATACTTCTCATCTCTGCCATTGGTGACGTCTTGTTTGTTATTTGAACCTGGACATGGTGGGGATATTTATACCATGAAACTCAGCAAACACTAAAAATCAGGAATTTTTCCCCAGAGACACATTCTACCATTCAGTAAATCACTCACTTGCTATTTCACACTATGACAATCCACCTCTCTTAAAGACATTTGCACAACACTGAAGTTTTTGCTTCTAAATCCCTTAGATTCTTGTCACAGCAGAATCCGAAGAAGAAAGCCCTGATGGCTCTATTCATTTGGGGGTTACTAGAAATAAAATCATGACAGCTCAATATGAATGTTACCAAAAAATTATGCAAGACCCCATTCAACAACCAGAAGGTAAGTGTGACTATTTTCTTCTCAATGTATCTGACATATTTTCAAAAGAAAATTGCCCTCATCACACCATTTTGAGTTCTTTGGTCTATTATTAAAAAGGGTTAGTTGCTAGTTTTTCCAATGTGTGTGCCATTGTAATTATTTAATTATGAAAAACATTTTGTGCCATTATGTTATCTTCTTTAAAAAAATCTAATGTTACAGTATGACAGTGATCTACTTGGTATTATTAATTTTATAATATAAAAATATTAAAAATCAAATAAGTATTAATATTAACACAAAGACACATGCCTTTAGTTAAACTAATGAGAGTGACCTTCTGTTTATGCAATTTGTATTTCTTTTTCTCAATCTGCTTGATTGGAGCAGGTATATAAAATGATGACTACAAAAGTATATTTTTTTTACATAATACACATACTTTGCATAGTACTTTTGGTAGCAAAGCTAATGGTGTTTTGGGTCTTCTGTTTCCATTAAAACATTGTTTTGCTGGCAGTGCCCATAGCTCAGTGGGTAGGGCCCTGGCCTCATACACCAATGCAGGTGGATTCAAACCCACCCGGGCCTGCTAAACAACAATGACAACTGCAACAAAAAAATGGCAGGGTGTTGTGGGCACCTGCAGTTGCAGCTACTAGGGCAGCTGAGGCAAGAGAATCGCTTAAGCCCAAGAGGTAGAGGTTGCTGTGAGCTGTGATGTCACAGCAATCTGTCCAGGGCTACAACTTGAGACTCTGTTGAAACAAAAAACAAAAGCAAACAAAAAAAAACATTGGGACATAAGTCAGCTAATCTTTCTTTGCTTTAAAGAAAACTTTATGTTTTTAATTTAAGAGGCTTTGCTTTCATGTTGAAGAAAAATATGAGCTATTAAGCATTCTATCCCATTTGAAAAGGATTAGAGAATTAGAATAAAAGGATTAGAGAAAGGATTAGAGAATTAGAATTTGGCAAAAGGACCTAAAAAAGAATCTTTCAGCATTAAAATAGTGTAATTAGGATTGAACTATTATTTGGTTGCTTCAGAAAATACTTAGACCTTGGCCTAAGAATACAATTTCTAAAATAAACATGTTTCCCATTTGCATGTAGAAACACTAATTTTAATTTTTAATTTTAAGTATAGAAGCACTAATGACTATTTCACAGTTAAGGACAACCAGCAAGGACATTTGACTTATTAGATAAATAGTTACCTTTGAGAATCAGAATTAAATCTAAACTTATATATATTAAGATATTTCTGAATTTAATTTAGAAGTTAGGTATTCTAATAATTACTTGGTGAAAAGACCAAGTCACTGCTTTAGATTATTTGCATAGTATCTGCATTTTCAGTAGATAGTCTTTAACCATGTCAGTATGAAACCACCCTTAAGACTTTATGTCTCTATGAATAAGTAGAGGGAGTTAATTCTGCCTAATTTTTATTTCCCCCTTAAAGGAGTTTACTGCAACAGAACCTGGGATGGATGGCTGTGCTGGAATGATGTGGCCGCAGGCACTGAATCAATGCAGCTCTGCCCTGATTACTTTCAGGACTTTGATCCCTCAGGTAAAAGCAAAATTTATGTGCCTATCTCCTTGACATTTGTCTAATAAACCCTGCATTAATTAAATTACCGTTTTCCTTTTTAATTTTAAAGAAAAAGTTACAAAGATCTGTGACCAAGATGGAAACTGGTTTAGACATCCAGCAAGCAACAGAACATGGACAAATTATACTCAATGTAATGTGAACACACATGAAAAAGTGAAGGTATACAATAACTATGAATTTAAATTTAATTTGCACGATCTGTTCCAACAGTTAAGTGTCCAGTGCAGTATTGGAGAAAATTTAGTCAATGTTCCATTCCCTTATAAAGCCTTTTCATGAGACAAATTGAGAAGAATAATGAAGAAAAGTATCCGTGGTAGGAATGACTGATTTTGTCATTACACGGAGGAAGCAAGCCTCAGTGTTAGGTAATAGGATATTTACAAGTCAATGTCTCACTACTGGGTTTCACATTTTCCAAAGAAAACATACCTTAACAGTGTAAGAAAAGGAAAAACTTTCATTTGTAGTAGAATTTCTAGAATTTCCTCTGAGTTTTTGCTCAAGTAAACAGGATAAGCTCAGCAGGGTGTAAACAGCCCCATGTGCTCCCTCAGTAGAAGACTTTCATTCTGAGTGTCTGTTAGGTCACTAGCGTTCATATTCCCATTTTGAGCACCACATATTAAAGTCTGAGTTAATCAGTGTTTGTCCCAATAATAAAGCTTTAATAGAAAATGCTGGCATGTTTCACATGTGTGTATTTAGAGGCAGTTTGTTATAGTGACTAAAACTGGGAGTCCTGTTGTCTCCCTTCCTGTTTCTTCCCCAAACCAGCTGTGGGACTTGACACAAGTCTTCCAACATCTCTCTGCCTCAGTCTCCACCATTCCTTCATTGTATAAAATAAGAGTGAGAATACATTGCACCCTCATGGTTTTTATAGGAATTGACTTCATACCAGAAAAATACTTAGAAGATTAGCATATAGTAAGCACTTGATAAAGTCCAGCTATTATAATCTTTGTAAACCATATATTCTATGCTATTCAAAGAAGGATTTGAAGAAAATTACAAAAATACAGAATAAAGGGCAGCGCCTATAGCTCAGTGGGTAGGGCACCAGCCACATACACTGAGGCCGGCAGGTAAGAAACAGGCCTGGGCCAGCTAAAACAACAATGACAACTGCAACAACAACAA